CATCCTCATAAAGAAAACGAGAAATAATATTATCACCAACTTTAATCCTCTCAAAACCATTATTATGAGAACAATCATCCAAAAAACTAGAAAAGACATCAATAATAATACAAAAAAGATAAGAGAAAGTGGGCAACCTTGTCGAATACCAGAAGATGAATTTAAAAACTCATTCATTGAACCATTAAGAATAACAAAAAATAAACATCTTTAATGCAACCTTTAATCCAAGAGATGAAAATATGAGGGGACCCTTTTTGAATCATCCTAGAGACTAAAAAATCTCTAGAGATCGAATCAAAAGCCTTATGAATATCAATTTTAGCACAAAAAAACTTATCACTAGTAGAGTAATTAAAATCTCTAAGAAGTTCAGCAGCAAGAATGATATTATCTATAGAGATCCTCTTCTTAATAAAACCAAATTGACTTTTATGAACAATAAAAGGCATCACACTCTACAACATGTTAGCCAAAATTTTAGCTACAATTTTATAAAAAAAAACATTACATAAATAGATGAGCCTAAAATCTAAGACATTAGATGCATTAATCTTTTTGGGAATAAGAAAAATGACAGACACTTTAGCAGCTCTCGACATAAAACCAAAATTAAAATAATAAAGAACAGCTTTGAACAAAGTAAAACCAACTATCGCCCAAGTAGTTTTAAAAAATTCAAAAGTATAGTAATCAGGCCCAGGACAAAGGATTTAGGGCTGTTAAAAACAACCTTTTTAATTTCATTTATCAAAATCGGGAGAATCAAAGTAGCTTTTAAATAGTCCGGAATAATCTTACCAGTAGGAATATTGAAAGAAGTAGAATTAACCAAAATAGGAGAACTAAAAATAAATTTAAAATGATTCACAAAAGTATTAGCAATATTAATAGTTGAAAAGAAGAAATAACACGAATCATATTATAATTTTTCATGCATCTAATTTTGGATTAATGAAATCCTAAATCATCTTCTCCATAGATCATCCATTTTTATTTAGCTCATTGAGATACCCAAGAAGACCAAAGAGAAAGATGATCTTTAAAAAGGGAATTTATATTAATAAGAGCTAAATTAAGATTCTGATTAAGCGGATCCTTCTGAATAAGACTACAAATCACTTTGTTGCTTCTTAAGATTCTTAATAGAAGAAGAAAGATGTTTTGAGGAAGCCCAATCTTTCTGCTTAATTAAAACTTTAAGTAACTGAAGCTTACCATGAAGATTATTGATAGGATTATCAAAAGGAATTTTATGAAAAACCTCAATAAATAATTCCCAGAAACTAGTAATTTTGCACCAATAATTCTTGAACAAAAATCTATAATTAGTAGCATAATAATTATTGCTACAAATAATAAGAGGAGAATGATCGGAGCAAAGAGGGTTATCAACAACATAATAAGAAGAAAGATAAACATTCAACAAAGAATATTTAACAAAAACTATATCTAATTTAATATGAATCGAGTTATTACTATGTTGATTGAACCAAGTATCAAAATTACCAATAGACAAAAGTTCCAAAAGCCCAAAATTAAAAATATAATGATTGAAGGCTCCCAAATTATTATAAGAAATAGAATTACCACCAAATTTTTCATTGGCAAAACAACAAAAATTAAAATCACCCAGCAAAATCCACAGAGCTGTAATATTAAAAGCGATATAAAGAATATCATTCCAAAGATTAACCCTATCCACAATCAAATTAGATGCATAGATAGCCTTAATAAAAAAGGAATCATAACCAAACTTCATAACTCCATGAATAAGCTGACTAGTAATGAGAATAGAATTAAAAGAAATACAAGAAGAATTCCACTTTAACCAAATTATACGAGCTGTAGAAAAACTAAAATTATTATAACTACCTTCTTGATGAAAGATTTTGTGTCTAACATCAAGCCAAGAATTACCAACAAGATTAATATTAATTTTAGCTTCAAGAATGCAACAAAAATCATCCTTAAACTTATTAACAATATCAATATATGCATTAACTTTATCTAAACAGTTAAAGCCTCTCACATTACAGGAAATAATATAAGGCAAAGATATTAATGTTTAATATTCAAACTAGAGGCCTTCTTGGTAGCTTTAGATCTAGTAGACTTATTAGTAGTAATAGGAATTTTAAAACATTAATGCTTTAAAGTAGAAATAACAGAAAATGAGTCCCCCTGTAAAGAATTATCTGGTTTCTCATATGTATAAATATTGAGGGAATTCAACACATGAAACTTATTACGAGAATAAAAAAAATCAAAAAAAGATTTTGACTTAAAAGAAACCTTAGAAACAACCGAATTATTGTTTAAATTGAGATTAGTAACAATCTCTTCAGTATGAAAATTTAATTTGAGTAATGTCTCATTAAAAGAAGAGACTACCAAACTTTTAGAATTCTCCACAAAATTATCCACAACCTTCATAATTTCAAAAGCAAAAATCAAATTCTTCTGAGGACTACAAGAAATTTTAGACAGATTAGTATTCTTCATATCATTAATAGAAACCTCATTAGATTTAAATAAAGAATCTGAAAGTAATGAAGGATTAGATAAATCATGATCTTTCTTTTAAACCAATATATTATGAAGCTTTATAACAAAAGAAGCTCTTATAAAATATGAAGCAACATTCCAAACCTTATTGCTTTTACTCCTCCCCCTAATAGGTTTTTCAAAATCATCCGACTTTTCACTACCCTCTTGCGGCTGGGAAAGACACAACGTTGAAGGATGAATAATTGATCCACACCCTTGATAGGGAGTGGGCTTCCAATCATAAACAACTTCAAGGGGAAAAATGTTTCCAGCAATTGAGATATTAACTTCACTAGGAAGACTCGAATCCTTAGAAACTAAAATACAAACCCTCGCAAAACTGTGTCTAGTTTGAAATGCCTTCCAGCGTCCATCAAACTAAAGGTTGATCATGAAATTTGACCAATAAAGGAATGTACATAAACTCTTCACGTTTAGGATAAAAAAAGAGAACCATTTCTAGATAATAAATGGTTTTCCAAAGAAAAACCAAGGGTCACCTGATCACACAAATTTGTAATCTTCCAGACAAGAAAACTTCATCAGAAAGAAACCCTCATTCAAAGCAAAAAGAGCAAAATCACCTTTCAATTTCCAAACTTTTTGCATGACAGATTTTAAAGCTTCAAAGTAATGCCTCTTACCCAACGAGTACCCAATCAGCGTTCATATTTCATAAGCAAGATTGACATCACTTTCAGAGAAAGAAACAAGATTATCAATAGAAGACAAAAAAGAAACTTAAAAAGATTTGGTTGTAGATTGACTAGATGTCAATAATCCATTCCACGTTTTCATTCTCGCAGGAAAAACACCCAAAATCATACAAAGTATTCAAATTTGTTTTTAGAGGAGAAAAATTAGATAAAAAATTCATGAATCAACACATAAATAGAAAAGAGCAGAAAACATACAACAAAAAAACCTCAAAAGGAAAAAAAAAAGCAAAAACCAAGCCAAAAACAGCTCCAATTTTATTTATTTTAATAAAACTAATGAAGCGGCACCACGTGGCTAGAAGAGCGTGTTTCGCACGTCACTTCTCGCACGTCACCACGGCTACAAGGAGATCAGGTTCACGTGTCTCGTGGTGGTGCTCGCGCAGGATTATCTTTTACCCATTACGTTTCAGGAAATAACGGGAATACCCTCGATTCACGTTTAACAAATGGTCTTCTCGGAGCATTGATGAGGATCGATATCTAGGGTTTTCTATGGTGCAGCCGCTTCACCACCTCATGGCGCCGAGTTGGTGAGGTCTACCAATTCTCAACACCTGTTCCTACCTGCTTCCGCAACCAGCTCCGATTTCGGCGAATCACCCTTCTCTCCGACGAACATTCCTCTCTCTGTCAGTGCTCCTTTCTTTCCCTGGCTGTGGATTCCGTTGCAAAGTTCAATATTTCCATCACAAATTTTTTTTTGCTCTTTTTGGGTACATTAAAGCCATTATTTTTCTAAAGGAAGGCTAATGTCTTCTTTATTCTTTGTTAAGATTCTTGCTAAGGAGAAGCTTTCTGAGTGAAAATTGCGCAACTGTAGGAATAAGAGCTAACAAAATTATACTTTGAATTTTGAAATATAAAAAAGATTTGAAAGATAGGAGTAGATTTGTTACATTTTAGCAAAGAACTTGCATGAGCTCTATCATAAAAAAACTATTTGTTACATTTTAGCAAAGAACTTACATGAGCTCCTTATCATAAAAAAACTATGGAGGTAATGCTATACTAATATAAGAAATGAATTAAGAATGAAGATTGATAAATTGGGTACTTAATAGTTGGGATAAAGTTGATGATGATGATGATGATGATGATGATGATGGAGGTTTTTTATCCTGGTATTGTTTGGTATGGATGAAAGTACCCACCCTTTTTGGCTCAAGTGGAAATTGAAACTTTTATTCCAGCTTGATTCAAACTCGACTTAAAATTGAAATTGCAAGTTCAGCCAAATTTAGTTGAAATTATTGTATTTTGATGTAACTTGAAAGTAAAATTTTTATGATATATAATGTCATATATTATGCATATAACATATCATATGATTCATATATTTTATACGTATATTAATATTGAACCATGATTGATTATTTGATCCAGTTGTATCACCCATTGCTTCCAAAGGTGAGGTCTAAAGTTTGAATTCTGCATAGAAAAAAATATATTGATTTCGAATCAACTTGAAATATATTCCAGAAAGTCAAATCAATTTTGAAATCATCTCAAAATTGATTTCAAGTTCACAGTGGAGCTTGAAATCTACTAGATCTTAATCAAGTCAATTTTGAAACATTAAATTTTTTACATGTCTGGATTTACAACTATGAATACTGACTTGTGATGCTCTTTTGTTACACCTTATCTTAGGATATCCAATTTCAAAGCTTGGCAGAATTAAATAAGGCTTTGTGGTGCAATGGATAAGCAGGTCTGATTCAGTCTAAAATGAGTGGTTCTGAGGAGTCTGGATCAAGCCCAGGATTGGAGAATTCAATTGTCCCGGCTACTAGAAGGTCAAACATCGATCTAGAAAAGGGTGGTGAAACTGAAGTGGTGACATCTGGTGAGTTTCTGCGTTTCGATGAAGGGAAAAAAGATCTATTAGGAGAGATTGTGGACAGTGAAAAGGAAGCTTATAAGCTTTATTATGATTATGCACATTATGTTGGATTCTGCGTTCGAAAGGGAAAGAATGCATATTTTCTTGGGACAAAGAATATCAAAGCAAAGGAATTTCTTTGCTCAAAGGCTGGTTTCAAGGAAGATGAGCCCGAAGCTACTCGTAGTAAACTTGAAAGTAGAACTGGGTGCAAGGCAATGGTTAAATTCCAGGTTGATGAGAATGGAAAGTGGAGGGTGTCTCGTTTAGTGTCTGAGCATAATCATGAACTAGCTAAGCCTGAAGAACGACATTTGCTAAGATCTGCACATTCAGTTATAGCTGCAAAGATGAGTAGTGTGTTCAGAACATTACTGGACGTTGGAATAAAAACAACAAAAGTAAGTGCCTATCTTTTTGATGAAGGTACTGGTATTGAAAATGTTAAGTTTTCTAAGAAGGAAGGGCAAGAACTTATCAACTCACGACGGTTGACAGAGGTTGAGCCTGGAGACTCACAAAGCTTGGTAAATCTCTTTAAAGAAAGAGCTGCACAAGATACCATGTTCTTTTGGGATATACAGCTTGATAAAGAGGGTAAACTAACAAACTTCTTTTGGAGGGATGGTCGGTCAAGGATAGATTATGATTGTTTTGGTGATGTTCTGATCTTCGACATGACTCACAGATTGAACAAGTACATATGTTCACCATTTCTAGGGATTAATAACCATGGGCAGAACATCATGTTTGGGGCTGCTTTTTTAATGGATGAGATGACAGACTCCTTTGTGTGGCTTTTTAGTACATTTTTGAAGTCAATGAATGACAGGCCACCTATCACAATATTTACAAATCAAGATGAAGCAATGGATAAGGCAACATAGATGGTATTTTCTACAACTCATCATCATTTTTGTATGTGGAACATTTCAAAAAATGCTCCCTCTCAAGTGCATAATTTTAATTCCGATAAAGAACTCAAGGGTCTTTTTAACAAATGCATGCAAGAATGTGATTCAGAGATTGAATTTGAAGAAACATGGAGGAACATGCTGGTTAAGGGCAGACTCGAAAGCCATGAATGGCTTAGATACTTGTATGAAAATCGTCAGAAATGGTCCACTGCATTCAACAAGGACACCTTTGATTTGGGAATCAAATCGACCTAGCGGACTGGAATCAATAGTAATGTATTGAATGTGGTACCTAACACAAGCTCTCTTACTAAGTGTTTTCTTCAAGTTGAGAAGTTGTTGCATGGTTGGAGGTAAACTGAAGCTAATGAAGATTTCAATTGCAACCAAAGCATGCCCACATGTGCAATAAAGCACAGTCCTATTTTAAGGCATGCTTCACAAGTTTATACACACAAAATTTTCAAGTTATTTCAAAGAGAGTTTCTTGATGGACTTGGTGGACTTTGTTTTGAAGAGTTCCCATGTGGTGGTACCTTGTACCAGTTTAAGATGAAGATGCATGATGAGGGTTTAAAGGAATGGATTGTAAATCTTGACACATTATCTATGGAGGTAGAATGCTCTTGTAAGAAGTTTCAGTCAATGGGGATTTTGTGTTTGCATGCTTTAAAAGCATATAGTTTAAAGAACATTTCTAGGATACCAGATAAATATATTATGAAAAGATGGACCAAAGAGGCCAGGAAACGGATATATAATCTTCGGCAAAATGGGAGTTCTCAACAGGAACATATGGAGCCTGACTCTGTTTATCTAAATCATGTAAGTCGATACTGCTATGACCTTGCTATGAGAACTTAGCAGTATGCAGGTGTAAGAAAAATTTTATTAAATGCTTTGGAAACTGCAGAAAGGAACATTGAAAACTTTTTTGGCGAACAATGTTCTGCATATGCAAACTCTGACAAAAGGTTGAAAAAATCAAGTAAGCTCTCACCGCCGTTTAAGAAAAGAAATTATCATGATCTAGTTTTTACCTCCCTTCTTCTCATATAGGGAAAGAGAATGACGCAGGAAATCTGTTTCACCAGGATGAATCAGCTCGCAGTATGTTTCATTCTTCTATAAATACCATGCTACCTCAATATTGGAGCACCATGGGTTCCCTTGATGATGAAAGCATGCCTCAATCTCATAATTTCTAGTAGGTCGTTCTTTTAGGTTTTGTTTGGGACAATTTTTTTACTGCTTTCTAAAGCAGTTTCTTAATACAAAAATTTCTAGTCCAAAAATATTTTGTTCTAAAAAACCATTTTAGAAAACAATAAGAACTTGTCCCAAACAAAGCCTTAGTTTTGTTATGAATCTGTAAGAAATCAGCTTTTTACCTTTAACTGTGTATTTGTACAGGTTTCAACTGTCCAATGTGGCCACAAAGTACTTTCACATCATATGATACCAGTTATCAAGTTGTAATTAGACCTTGTGTCGCCCTGATTCATTTCTGCCTTTGCTATCATTTTGCAGCTAAGGTATGAAAGATGCAACACTCCTTTGTATGTTGCCTTATTAGCTGAAATCTGATAATTTAAATTCCTTCCAGTTTACCAGTATATGGCTTATATCGACTTTTTTCAAATGAAGCAAAATCTTCAACCTGACATCTATATTACCTGATAAATTGTTTCTTTCTTGCAATGTTGGATGCCTATTTCTGATTTGAATGCTGCTCAAGGACTGCAGCGGGGGCTTTTGGGTGCTGATAGAAAGATTTCAAAATGATCTACAGAAGAGTTTGAATGTTCCAGCTGTTGTAAGTGTTCATTAATGAATGAATATAAGTTACTAAATCAAATGAACTGATAAATGGAATTCATGCTCTTCCAAATTTATTTATTTTCCCTACCTCTTAAGATCATTTTCTATGTGAATATGAGACTTGATACTGTCTGCTAAAAATTCTATTTTGTTTTTTGTTTTTTTATTATCGTTTCGTTTTTGTTGTTTAACTTATTTCCTTGATGATAGATAACTTCTTTGTAGATCTGTTGCAAATTCCTGAATATGTATTTAGAAAATCTAAACGCTGACAATCATAGCTGCATTTTCTATAAGGAAAAAGGAGCAATTGAAATCTTTATTATGATAGCTATAAGTTGTAGATCGGAAGAGGTTTTAAGTGGAGGAAGTACATCTTTCTCTTATAGGTTGAGAAAAAGAAGCTTGATGGTCTTATTATTGAATTTAAATGCATAGTTGTTTTCTCAATCATTGTGAATCACATCCCAGTCATAGGAGAAATTATTAGGTGCAGAGTTCGGATGTAGAGTTGTGTCCGGACTCCAATGAAATGTTCACACATGATCAAAATATAATTTTTAATATTGCTGCATATTTGTTGATTATTTACTGAGTATTTATTACGTATTTGCTGAGTATTTACTACGTTTAAATACGCAGTAAATACTCAACAAAAATATTTAGTAAATATTCAATAAATACGCAGAGTCTAAACGCAACTCTATGTCTGGACTCCGCACATAATAATTTCTCCAGACAGAGTTAGGATTTATTCGATATGATATGGGCTATGCTCAAAAGCATGACATCACATAATATCTTATCCTGATAAGCACTCTTCTTAATTTGGGTAAGGCATTTAAAAGTCATATGTAGAGAGATGTGATCAACCCAATCAATATAAAATAACTCAGGGTGAGGTTTTTGTTTTAGGTTTGTCAAAATGAGAGTATTGGTGGAGATAATCTTCATTATACTCCAACAATTCGTAATAATTTTACATCTCTTCTCATTACATACATCTATTATTTGAAAAAAAATTACATTGGCATCAGTCAGTCGAATTTAGTTCGACCATGAAAAGGCATTTCATAATGGCCATACTTGTATCATCCAATTTACAATCATTTTTAGATTAATGGGATTCATTTTTCTCTAAAAATAGGATTTTGGATATGCACTAGTTATATATATAGCCTTTTATATGACATTTAAAGTAAATTATAATATCATTGGTGCTTCTACAAGTGGGATCATGGATAGAGGGTATTGGGCTAGTGAACAGTAGTAGAAGCTGAGGCAATTGGTCTAGCAGCAGACATGGATGTAAAAGTGAAATATGATGAGTTCCCAAGCTTTATAAAGGTGATCACTTTTTAATATTTTTCAATTATCAGGGTAAAGTGAAGATTTCCTACTAAAGTTTGTGAATCCTATAATTTAACTTCATTCTTGACTTCATGTTAGTGTTTAATGATAAATTTATTGACAAATTGTCAATTGAGATAGATGCAGTTTTTCCTTACTATAAGAGACTCATAGATGTTATTGGAGAGTTCCTTGTCCAAGAGTAAACAAGTGGCTATGCAGGTGCTTATAATGAAATCTATCATGGTATTTGGTCTGTAAGAGTTCTTTCATCTCAACCCAAACCCATTGGGTTCTACCAATCCTAGGTTTCCTAGCTAAAATGTTGGTTTAGTAAATTTTTACATGCCCTATAAATTTCATCTTTGAAAAATTGGTTCTTTAAAAATATTTCAATTATATCAATCAAATAAATCATTTATTTGCAAACTTTAAAAGCATTTAGAGCTTTTTTGCAAAACTTATTAGATTTTTTAAATAAATGTAAGGATTTAACTTTAGTTTTTATCTAAGAAATTAGAACAATCATTTCTTTAAATAAAAAACACAAAAGGTGAATTTGCTCCTTGTATGAGTGTCAGGGTGTGCGTGCACTCTAGTGTTAGCGGTAGTTGATCCTCTGGGCGAATGATTACGTCCGGTCACCGGACGTCCGAACACCCAGTCCAGATGCGCCACGTCACCCGAATACTCTGGGTCCTGGTGTATTTTGGTGATGTGGCGCGTCTGGATTGGTGTCCGGATGAATCCGGACACCGGACGTAATAATTTGCTGATCATCTGGGCTACGAAAGTTCGAGCTTGGAAAAGCCTATTCTAGCATTTTAGGGGTTGTAGATACTATTTTTTTATAATCCTCAAGAACCAGTTTCAAGCAATTTTTTTGAAGAATTAAGAGCCAATTTTGTTATAATAATTTTTGCTTCAATTATCGTACAAACTTCAACGAAGCAAAAATTTAGGATTGAGGAGACTTTGTTCACAATCTCAAGGGAAGTATCCTAGAGGTGTAAACGAGTCGAGTAGTGACACTATCGAGTTGAGCTTATTTACTTCACCGTGAGCTCGTGTGAGCTCGTATCGGGCTCGAACTCAACTCGCAGCATAAAATTCAAACTCGAGCTAAGCTTGATTACTCGATTCAAACTCGTTTTCATCAAATGTTACCGTGAAAATGCAAAATCCAGCTGCGAGAGAACTCTCAGGTGCAGGCCAACGACCGAGTTGCAGTGGTCTTAATTCTGAAATGTCGGCAACAGGAAGGAGAAGATTAAGAAAATGAGTTTCTATTGACTTGGGAAGAAGCCTTGAGTTTTTCCCAAATTTATTAATTGAAACAATTAATGCGAGCAGCTTTTTTATCTTTTTCTTTTTCATGGCAGCTTTTATATGTTTTTTTTAATAGCATGTAGCTCTTTGGGAACATAACTTTATTAATTTACATGTATTTTTTCAGAGTTTTGTTGCTAGCATTTTTAAGTCTGCTCGCGAGCTTGCGAGTTGAGTCTCATCAAACTCAAGCATGTGCTCATTTAACAAAAGAGCTCGAGTTTAAGCTTGAGCCCGTGACTCAATAAGCTCGGTTCACGAGCTCATTGTTGAGTCTAGTTCGAGCAGGCTCGTGAATCGGCTCAACTCACTTACACCTTGGTCCACATTTATATCCAGGAAGTGATTGCGTCTTGTATTTTTCATGGTTATAAAAAGAATTGATCTATCACAAAGAAACAATACCTCTGACAACAATATCTCTTAGTCGTACCTGATAGTTAGGTTGGTGAGGGAGTGCCTAATGACTTAGTTGGTTGGGGTTGAGCCTATGATTGGGCGAATTATTACGTCCGGTGACCAAACGTCCGAACACCCAATTGAGAAGCGCCACGTCACTCAAATAAACTGGGTCCCGATGTATTTTGATGAGGTGGCACATCTGGATTGGTGTCTGGATGAATCTGGGCACCGGACGTAATAATTTGCCCTATGATTGAGGAGGATGGATGCATAGGATTGGCCAATTTGAATTTTGGAGGCTCGGGTTTGGTTATTTTTCAACCACCCGTAGCTAGCCAGGTGTCAACTTGGGTTGAGCTTGGTTAGGCTAGTTCTACGTGAGCCTTGGATTGATTAGGCTGTGTTGGATTGAGCTGGAATGACTTGAATTGGGATTTGAGTCCTTTAATTGTGACTTAACTAATTTGGTTGACCCCAAGTGAACCCAAAGTTTGGACAAGTCAAGGGGACTAGCAAAAACAAAGGAAAAATAATATATAGAGCTAATTTATCCTGAACTTTAGCAAGCAAAAAGAGTATATAGGCTTTTTTTTGCTTAGTATGGATTTTTTTTCCCTTCAAATTATAGTTCGTATAAAGATATTTTTTTAAAAGGTCATCAATATCGCATTGGCCAAAAAATTCAAATTAAACAAAAGAAATTGATGATAATAAAATCTAAAAAAGAGGTGAATTGTGAGTTATTTATATTGAGAAATATTTGAAAAAATAAAATACTCATGACACTTAAAAATTTTATTTTTAATATTAGTAATTTAATAAAAAAATTTCAATGTATTTTTATAAAAAATTTATTTATAACAAAAACTTTTAAATATCATTTTAATAAAAATTTGATAAAAAATATATTAAAATATAATAAAAAATCATTTAAATTTATTACAAAAAATTAAAATTTTATTCTAATAGTTTTTTCATAAAAAAGAAATATGATTTATATAGATTACATATATATAATTGATAAAAAATAGATAAAAATATAATGAAATATAATTTAAATAGATTATATATATATATTAATAATTTTTTCCCCTCTCTCATATATGTAAGTAATACGCCAAATTGAATAGCGTATTTCAATGACGCCATTTATTTTGACGTATTTGCTATATTAATTTTAATTAATCAATGCTCCTTTTACTAATTTTGATAATAATACTTCTCCTTTATAAAATTTGCCCAAGAACATTTTATGGCTCCACTATTGTGACTTTTTGATATAATGCTCATTATGTCAAATAAAAAAGATTTTGTTTGGAGTGGCTGTAATTATTTGTGAAAGTTGCTAAAAAATTTCTAAGATTTTGTATTTATTGTAAATATTTTTATTTTTAAAATTATTGATACATCATCAAAACTTTTTAAAAAGCAAAAAAAAAATTATAGCCAATTATAATTCTAATATTATTATGAAAAAATAGAATTATAAAAAAGACTGATTCAATTACATCTTTAATAAGAGGAAAATATGATCGCTATACAGGTGCTTCTCGAAACAAATCGAACTGACTGAAATCATTTGATTCAGATCAATCGTTCGATTCTTTTGAAATAATTCACAGCATATTTACAGCCGTTGGATTTGCTGTTAAGTTTTCACAATTAACAGCAATACCGCTTATTATATGCCTATATATATACCAAGCTGCTTAACCCGGGAGTCTCATTTGCCTTCACAAATCCATCCGTCTCGAACCCTAGCGATCCCCTACCCTGTAGTGCAGATTTCTCTCCTCGAAATCAATGGCTACAGAGACGAAGCCTTCGGCCGGCGAGGACACCAAGGTAGACCTCTTCGAGGACGACGACGAGTTTGAGGAGTTCGAGATCGGTGAAGGTAACTCCAGCGTATTTTCCTCTTTCTATTTTTCGTTTAAGGGCACTCGATTTTTAGTACATTTTGATAGCGTTAGTGGAATTTATTTATTAGTTATTTCATCGATGCGTATGCTTGAATTTTAGCCGTATTTGGTTGAGATAATGGTAAGATTTTCTTCTTTCTTTTTATTCATGGCCCGCGAAGTAAAAGGCTGCGTTGAGTTGAACGGGTTATATGAGATATTCACTGTTTGGTTAGGCTTTAGAGTTGGGATTTCCAAGTATCATGAGTTGTGTGAGATGACGCTGGAGATATTTTTGAGTTAGCTATTTATTTTGCATCTATTTTTGAATACAATGGAAGAGAAGGAATACAGAATATTAAAATTGGATATGACCGTTTTTTAATTCTTGGGATCGTGGATACTATGAATTAAGGGTTCACATTGTTAGGTCTATGTTATATTTAAGACTGAATTCAAATCCTTGTGAAATAATGATACTTCTTAGAATGAAGAAACGCATATTTTTGAGCCATTTTTTTCAAGGAACAACGAGTCTAATACCTAAAGATAAGGACACATTTTATTACTAAATTTGTGAAGGAATTGCCTTCATTTTAATGGAATTAGTGTCTGTTCTTCAGGTTTATTTCATTGTACTATTCTGTTTTAAATACCTGTTTTAGATATTGCATGTAATCCTCTTGTTGGTGTCATCCAAGTATAAAAAAAAAAAAACTCAGAAATTTAGGCTGGTTGATTTGTTTTAAGTTCCAAAGCCTTATTTCTTCTCTATTTGTTATCTTCCAATCATTCTTAAAATTTATACTTTATCTTTTGTTCCATTCCCTTCTCCTTTATTTACTCCTAAGCAGTGCACCTCTCTTGAAGCTATTTCTAAGTAACAAGGGAAAAAATATTGAATTTGGATTGAAATTAAGCTTGCATCATTATGTGAATTGATGATGGAACATCCCTTCTTATTAACTTGCCCACACATCCCATCTTATTTGCATTTGTTGTGGAAGAGTTAAGATAGTTTCTTTTACTAGGTAATTACTTATTTAGCCATTTCATTAGTTAGCGGTTATTTAATTTTGCAAATACAAATGTGTATGGATTACCCTTGTTGATCTTAAGCTCAGTTTTGAATCATGAAGAGTTGGTCAGGTTGACATACACTATGAAATCTATTGCAATATCATTCAAATGATTCTTTGTTGATAGCCATGGCACTATTGGTGTAAGAAGCTAGTAAGGGTTGCCTAGAAAAGTGAAAATTTAGGGAAAATGGATTTACAACTACAACATATTCTTCATGAAAGGAGGAAGAGTGGATGTTATTGTTTAAAAAGCATTGAAGTTCTAGTTTAATGATTATATACAATACCAATTTAGATTGGATAATGAAGTAGATGTTACTCTTGGTGGTGGTAATAGATTTATAATGAAATCTTAAGGATTGGGAAGTTGCTAAATGATCAGAGAGGAAGTACCTTGATTCAAATATGCAAAAGCAAAGGATATACTCATAATTGTAGGAACTATAAGAGAATGAGACTTATAAGTCATACAATGAAGTTATTAGAGAGGGTAATGGAATAAAGCCTGATAAAAAAATGCATGATGTTGGAAATTTAATTTAGTTTATTCCTCTAAAATGTACTAGAAAAGTTATTTATGTGCTAAGGAAAGCTATGAAAAAATGTAGAGAGCTATTAAATTATTTTTGTATGATTTATTGTTAATCTAGAAAGGATTATGATTGAGTATAAGACAATTGATTTGGTGGGCTTTATGAAGAAACTGTGTGCTATATATATGCTAATTGTAAGTGCATAAGGGTTTTCAATCATATTAGGTTTTGTGTTAAAGATAAGTTAGACGCTCTCTTAAGTGCATGAGCAAGGCAAGACCAAAATAATGCTGCATCTCCTAGGTGGGCGATACCTAACTGATTGCCTTGCCTTAAGGCTTAAGTGCCAGTTAGTGGGGTGAGCCCCTTGTCTTAATTCAAGAAATAAGTATTCATTCTACAAATGTGAAATGTGGTTACGTTTTTTTATGGAAAATTGATATAGAAAGTTCATCTAGAGTTACAATACTAAGGTTGCTAAGTTAGAAACATGTGAGATTAAACGTCAGTGAAAGATCTTTAAATTCAAGACCAAGAAATCGTAGAAACAAGTGGATGAGTATAAAAACTGATACAAAACTAATGATAGAGAAGAAAGTATGGACTATAATTAAGTTGGAATAGAGAGTTGAAGATTACATTACACCAAGCCTATGCATGGTATAAATTGAAGTAGCTTAATTGTGTAGGTTATTTAAACTTTTCTTTTAGGTATTTTGTTATTTAAACTTGTATAGTTGTATTTGAAGTCCTTTGTTTAAATCTATTTAATAGGATTTTGAAACTTGTAAAGCAATTTAGCTGAAAATTTTCTATTTCTTCCCAACATTCTTAAATGTGATGTTTATCATTTTTCTTTTTTCAAAAGTCTTGTAATTGAAAAGTGTTTATTAAGAAAAGCAATCATGTCTTTCAGTGCCTTTCTTTGCTTGACAAGCTCCTAGAGTGGTGCTTAATGCCTTAGACATTTGTTAGTCATATTTCCTTTGGGGTGCCTTAAACTTTTGACAATCTTAATTATGGTTATATCAAAGGTCACATTAACTTGATCTTTTTCCATGGTTACGAAGATTTTGATAAGTGAGAAATCTTTTGAAATGAAGAATAAGTTAGTATAATAGAGGAAATTTAGAAGGTAAGAGATTTAAGATTACTAAAATGATCTTCAAGTAACTGATAGGTGATATTGGTGCATTTCAAATCAATAATAATCAATTGATAGTGCTGGAAGATAAAGTGATATTCGGATGATATATTTAAATGCCTTGTATGTTTTATAAATAATGAGGTATAATTTATAAAATTAAAGCTGAGTTTTCTTAGTAGAGAATTGTCGGGGGAGTATTACGAGTTATAGAGGATATTTCAAAGGCTAGAATGTAAATTAATAAAGTTGTTTGGTATCAATTATTTAAGTGAATTTGGTTGTTAGGCAACAAAAAGTTTGTAATAATTGACAGTGGAATGTTTGAGAAATGATGATGTTTAGATGGATGTGTGATAATATTAGGAGGATAGAGTGGGAGATGATTTTATTAGAATCGAATGTTTGATTTTTACGAAGGATTGGTAAACTTACAGGTGCATTAAATGCACCTAATTCATCTTAATTTCACTAAAGATAAGTTTCTAAATAGCACTTTAAATTTCTTATAGAAAACGTAGTTTCATTTCCTAGTTCAGAAGTGGAATGTGATACATGATGGATATCCGGATGCTGATTATTATAGCAAGTCCTCAATGTAGGGAATGTAGGGAAAAGTAGCTGTGAAAATTTTCATCATACGAGGCAGTTTGTCATGCAGGATTTAACTGAATTCACACCAATCATTACTTATTGTTTTATATAGAGTAACATTCATTTAGATTACATATCGTAAAAAGTTCGTTTTCATTTCCTCACATATATCATTATATTACGCATCACTAAAGATTGGTGCTGGCAAAAAATGATAGTAATAGCCATTGATTCAAAAAGTTCAAGTGACATTAACTTGAATTTTCAACTATATGTTGGCATATTATTTTGGCCAGGAACAAAAATTATATACATGCATTAGAAGTTGCAAATTCTACAATTTGAAATAGTAAATCCCACTGGTGGGTTCCTACTACTTGAAAGGATGTGCAACATGATGTAAGTAAAGTTTTGTAATAGCAGGAAGCTTTCAATGAGGACTTCTAAGCTGACACAATGCAAAATGTGACAGTTGATAGCATGTTGTTATATGATCGTAATAAGGCACGACAACATATCTTCATTTAAAAATATTAGTAGCAGCCTCAAGAGGAAGAGGCTCTAATCATTATCATACGTCTTAACTATTTGGGGTCAGCATAGAGAAGAAGGCTCTAACAATAGGATAATGAAGAACACCCACAACCTTTTGTGCTTAATTTGTTTCAAGTAAAAATGTCCAACCTTCTTCTTTAATATTCTTGTCTTGTACATTTTTCCATTTTCATCTTATGAAACCTTCTAGAACATTAGTTTCGTCCTATGTGTCTCCAACACCAAGAAAAATCAATAAAGGGCAAGCTAATTTTCTCCTCTAAAACAACTCTAAGCTTGATATTGTTTTGTGGGTTACAACCTAGCATAGAGTTACATATGAAAGAGTAAATGCTAAATTATTTCTAGATTTTTTGGGTGTGCCCATTATAGTCTAAGATTTTTTTTAGGCGTTTATTTTAATTCTCAACACACTATTTTAACCAATTTGTTCTATCCATCAACTTTATCATTTGTTTTGGATAGAACTAGGTTGTGGGCTGAGGGAATTTTTAACCTTTCAGGTAAGACTATGTTAAATTTGATAAAACAATATTGTATTGGACTTTAGCAATATTGGAATATAATTAGATGGTCTACTATTTAATTATATGGAAGATAATAAGCTTAGGATATCCTTTATTTTTTGTTTTTTTAAAGAATACACTCATTCTTTGGTTTTACATTTTGCATTAACCTTTTCTATTGTGATCAAAGTAGTATTTTACCCTTTAGAAGAAGCTTGACAAATGCTTATGTGACAATTTTAGTAATAATAAAAAATTGAAAAAAAGTAATAATCTTTAGTCATAAATAATTTCATCCATACAAGTATTAATCAGAATTAAGAAATGTTTGAAGATAAAAAATGGCCAAAAGCTATTGTCATATTTAAAAAAGACAAATAATCAGTATTAATCACTAAAAAAAATTAAGTATAACTAAATAGTAGTATTTTAACCTACTATTGTTAGAAGTATTTTGGTGCAACAATTACAAAATTGCTACATGTTAGAACTTTGAAATTATTGTATTTTTTTGTTTGGTACTGGTGTGTCTATTACAAGGCAATTTTGTTTTGCAAAACAATTGAATCAACCTATAATTTA